AAAAAGAGCTTTTGAATGGTCTAGTGTATAATGTTACAAAAGCTTTTTATTTCAGATAAATGCTGATCTTTGGATCTTTCTATTCAAAAAGAATTATGAAAAAATGTACTTCAACTGTTTTAAATATTGATAATCAGCAAATCAGCATATTAGAATGATTGCTGAAGGATCATGCAACAGTGAAGACTGGAGTAGTAGCTTTGATCACATGAATAAATTACATTTTAAAATATATTCAAATAGAAAGCAGTTATTTTAAATAGTAAAAATATTTCAAAATGTTACTGCTTTTGGTGCGTTTTGGATCAAATAAATGCAGGCTTGGTGAACTGAAGATAATTCTTTAAGAATTATTAAAAATCTTGCAGTTCAAAAACCTTTGACTGGTAGTGTAGGCTGATTCTTCTTATAGATTGAAACGTGCATTAACCAGGATAACGAGTATGAAACGTGTGCATGTTGCTGGAAATGGGTTTATTATTGAAAATGCAAACTGCTTGTCTGCCAGCAGGAGGCGCTGTGAGAGCGGCAGAACTAACGGGTTCTCCAGTAATGGCTGTAAACAAAGCAGCTCCGCTCATGAACGCTACTTTATCAGATAAAAATGCCATCTAAACTATTCTGAAGACAGTCGGTTCCCTTCAGAGATACATTCATATAAAACACCCGCGCCGTGTTATGATTTTGAAACGTGCAGTGCTCATGTTTATTCAACGAAGTCAAACGCCACAAATAAATCAATGTATGGGAAACACTGGTAATGTATATCGAAATATCGGAAATGTGTTTAAAAATCATATCACCGTTATTGAAAAAAATTATATCGCGATACATATTGATATTGCATTATTGTCCAGCCCTAGCCCAAAGTATAACCAGATCTTTGTGTTAAAAAAAGCAAATGGGGTCAAATTCAACATAAGTTTTAATGTAAATTTACAAAGCAAAATTCTTAGCCCACTGCTTGATAGATAAAGAAATGATAATCATAATAATAATAATAATTCTACAGTATATTCCCCTTGTTTTGGTTTGTCTTCTGGGACATCGTCCCTCTGTGCCTCAGACTTTAAGCATAAAGGATTGAAGTTTTAATGCAGTCACAATGCAGGAAGCAAAGTCTGTCAGGCTTTGACTAGCAGTAGATGTTTATGTTACAGACGTTCTTGCGTTTCTGTCAGGTTGCAGGCTCTAAGGAAGGAGAAGTCACGTGACGCCGCTCGCTCGCGCCGGGGGAAGGAAAACTTCGAGTTCTATGAGCTGGCAAAGATGCTTCCGCTCCCCGGCGCCATCACCAGCCAGCTGGACAAGGCCTCCATCATCCGCCTCACCATCAGCTACCTTAAGATGAGGGACTTCACCAACCAGGGAGACCCGCCGTGGAACCTGCGCTTCGAAGGACCGCCACCCAACACCTCAGTCAAAGGTAAGAGGCATTCTTCTGTGTAGAATTTTTGCTCTTTTGTTGTAAATAACGGAATATTCAGTTTTTTTCCAGGTTATTTTCAATTGAATGTATAGTATGTGTGTAGTATGCTCAATATAGAATACTGCAGACAATAATTTTAATTAATTTTTATTTTGGTTTTTGTTATTGTAGTATATAAAGTTAAACTTAATGAAAATTATAAATATTTCCTTGGCAACTAGATGAAATAAAATAAGTTTAATGTTTTTTTATATATATTTTATTTTATTTCAGTTAACATTGATCTTTTTTTAAATAATGTAAGTTAATATAATAACCCTGCTCATAATGTATAACCAGAAATCCATCAACATAGAAAAATAGTCAAAAAGTATCATTTAGACAACAATTAACAAACCATTTTGTATAAAAAATTTAATAAAACAAATATAATACAATAAATCTAATTCTAAATCATTGCAGGAATTCTAAAATAAATAAATAATAAATATATAGCTTTTTCATAGCAACAACTACAAGTAAATATTTTCATTAATTTTGCAATTCCTTTATTTATTTTTATATATTACTTATTTGTTATTTTTTTTCTTATTTTAAATTTTATATATTTAAAAAAAAAAATTCATTCAGTTATTTTCTTGATTTTATTTGAGTAAATTCGTTACAGCTACTTTGCACTTAAGTGTGAATTATTTACTGTACATTTGGCATGGCTGTAATACCGTGAATGTTGTTAGAGGCAACAGTAAATTGTTGCAGTTTTCAGCGGCTTTGTTCTGTGTATTCCGGCCGGCACACAGCAGATGGTATCATTGTTGTCTCGCTTTGAAGAGCCGCATGCATTTTAATGAGAAAATGTATATGGTGAGTAATTCGGTGTAGAGCCGGTCCGCAGGACTGTTGCCTTTTACACGTCCGACATCAACGTGCTCGACATGCAGTGCAGGAAATGATGTAAGCGAAGGAAATGAATGAAGTGCATTGCATCCCATGTATTAATGAACGCTCAGCAAGGTGAATTCAAACCCTCTAGGACAATGAGATGCTCTTTGTGTCCTTCCATCTCATTGACAGCAGCCGTTTGAATTGAATCAGTAGCGCGGCCCATTTTATTTGCACTACATTTCGAACAGAACCTGTTATCGATTCCCGTTTTGCTGCTCTGCATCGCTAGAGCTAATGGATACTCAGCCCCGCTCCCGATTCGTCCGAGCTCATGAATCTCTGTTTATTTTCCGATCGGAGCGAGGAGATGGGGCTGACCTACAGCGGTAAAGAGCTCTCTCTCCTCATCCTCTGCTGACTCCTGCCGGATTGTTGTTTAGAATAGAAGAGGTGCATGTGTTTTGATTGGCGAGCTGACCGGGAGGCGCGCCGTGTGCCATAATGCAGAGCATACTAATACGAGCATATGGTGACTTATTGCATCAGGCCCGGAGCTCACAGGGCAGGGCCAGTTTCTCCTTCTGATTGTTTGTGTGCATGAGTCAAGGTGAGCCCTTGGAAAACGATATTGTTTCCTGTGTCTGGAAGTAGCCAGTTCATTTGTCAGTGCAGACTTCCAGGCAATTTCCCAGCGACTTTACATTGAGATCTGAAGCCGCCGCTGCTGTTATTATTATACAATATTTGCTGTGAGAAGTAGAAAAAAATCAAGTTGACTTCTTGTAAGGCATTTCTACATTATAACTGATGATTGTAACCTTTTGGGAAATCTCTGAACAGTGTCGTTTGGCAAATCTCATGTGAATCAGAATGATTTTTTGCATAGAGGAAAACACTTCCTGCATTTTCCCAGTTCTTTTTCATGTCCATGTGAATAAAGAAAAAAATATCTTATAGAAACATACACAGCCATTCGAGTTTGGGGTCATTAAGATATATATATATTTTTGTTATTATTTTATTTTTTTATTTTTTTTAAAGAAATTAATGATTTAATTTTTTTCAGTAAGGATGCATTACAGTAAATACATTTATAATGTTACAAAAGATTTCTATTTCACATCAATACTGTTTCTTTGAACTTATAGTCATCAAAAAATGTATCACAGTTTCCACAGAAATATTAAACAGCACAACATTGATAATAATAAAAAAGTGTTTCTTGAGCACCAAATCAGCATATTAGAATAATTTCTAAAGGCTCATGGAATTTCCCAGTGAGTTCAGAACCCACAGCTGCTGTTATTATACAGTATTTGCAGTGAAAAGAAGAAAAAATCAAGTTGACGACTTGTAAGGCATTTCTACATTATAACTGATGATTGTAACCTTTTGGGAAATCTCCGAACAGTGTCGTTTGGCAAATCTCATGCCAGTCGGAATGCTTAGAGGAAAATCTACCTGCATTTTTCCTGTTCTTTTTCGTGTCCGTGTTGAATAAAGAACAATCTGGAGCTGCCATTTGAACAGTGGAGAGTCGCCAAACACCATTAAAACAAAGCTGCCTTTTGTTGAATGCAAAACCAGGGTGACAAAGCGTAGAATTCGGGCCTTTATCTGTAATAAAAGCGGGCTGTTTTACTGGCATTGCAACTGAAAGAATTTGACCTCCATTTCTCAAGTGTTGATTTATTATCATAAGTCGCACGCTAGCCGCCTCTCTCCTTTTGTGCCTGTTGACCTTTTCCGTAATTGACCCATCAACTAATTTTTTGGGAGCGTTTTAGCCGAAATTTGCTAGTCTCTGTCAGAAGCGTTTCACATCTGTTGAAGGACACTGCACAAACAAGCATGACCTTTCTGTTGTTTGGAGGATGGCGCGGGCCCCTGACCCCCCTCCACCACCTGTGCATTCATTATTCATGCATGCAGAGCAGCGAGCAGTCGCCAAAATGCCACACTTCACCAAGCGCACACCCCCAAACTCTACAGCTCTGCCTGCACAATTGACACGTTTTGTGCCTGTAGTTAGCCGTCGAGTCGAGGACGCATATGCCAGTTGTCCTTTCATGATCACTGGAAAGGAATTCCAAATGGGCTGAAATATTTGCAAAATAGCAGCTTTTCCATCGGAATGTCAAAAACTCGCTTCTCTGTCTTAATCACCCAAGGCGTAAACATCTTGCGCCAACGGCTGCTCGGAGACTGATATTAACGGAGGGGAATTACCTAATTGAGTGAAATGCGAAACTATTTTACATGCACTGCATGGGAGATAAATCACAAATGAGATCTCTGTAACGTCTCAATTGTTTCTCCTAGACAGCGATGAGATTAAATGGAGAGGAAATGGAGGCTTGGGAGAAAAACAAATGAGGAAAAAAAACTCCATAATTTCTCAACTCTGCTCAGATTTGCAGTCAAGATCCCCCCCCCCCCCCCCCTTATCTTTCCAAATTTATTTTATAGCTGTTATACTCTTACTATATGTTGATGTACACTACGGATCAAAAGTTTGGAGATTCATGTTTTTGAAAGAAGTCTGACTGCATTTATTTGATAAAAAATGCAGTAAAAATTGTGAAATATTATTGCGATTTAAAATAACTGTTTTCTACTTGAATAGATTTTAAAATGTAATGTATTCCTGTGATGCAAAGCTGAAGACTCGAGAAGACTTTAGTGTCACATGATCCTTCAGAAATCATTCTAATATGATGCTTTGCTGCTCAATTATCAATTATTATTGTTTTTTTATGATTAACAAATATGCATTTTTAGGATTCTTTAATTAAAATAAAGTTCAAAAGAACAGCATTTGTTTGAAATAGAAATATTTTGTAACATTATAAATGTCTTTACTGTCACTTTTGATCAATTTAATGCATCCTCGATGAATAGAAATATTTATTTCTTTAAAAAAAGAAAAACACTTAAAGACCTCAAACCTTTGAACATTTGTGCATGTATCTTGTGACTGATTTCTTTTTCTTTAGAAATTCTTGGAGAAACATCTGAGACAATGTTGATACTTAAAAATGCAGCTGAGATCTTGTGAGCCGTACAGTTTTCCTCAAGTGTGGGTTTATTTTGTCGTGGAGTCGGTTCTACTGTAAACATCATGTTTGTATTGGCGGTTTTCTCATCAGTGGGGTTATAATCTATTCAGCAGTCAGTGGAAGCGCATGGAACACACTGACAGAAACACACAGTGCTTTGTTGTGTGTGATTAATACCTGAGATGTGGCGGCCCGCTGTCTTTATTAGAGGCAGAGCTGGAAGCCGTCGCGTGTTCGCTGGTTATCAGCGTTTGATCTCTGGTGACTGCTGCATCACATAGATGTGTCACTCAGCCAAATACAACGAAACTTCCTGCTTTTCAACCCACTTGTTTATATTGAAGGAAAAAGAGATTTCGTAATCATCTCCTTTCTTTGTTTGCTTGTTTCTGGCTCGTCTTCTGGGACGCTGTCCTTCGGCACCTCATAAACTCAAGCATTTTAACAAGCATAATGGCCTCTTTTGAAGTTTAATAAGTCATAAAAAGTTTCCTTCATTTTTATTTTTTTTTACGAAACGACATGCTTTTCCAGAGTAGCAGCCAAATGTGCATGTACTTGTCTCAATTAGCATAATTTCATCAATAAACTCGGTGAGACCTTGAAGAGAACTCTCCCCCTCTCCCCCGCGCTACATCTTTGACGTCTCGTTCTCTTCACGCCTGACATTTAGCTACACCCGTGAGCTCCATGCTGTTTCATACCGCCTTTCTTCAGCTCAGCTTTCCGGTGTTGGCGAAGCTACCTTAAAACTGAAGCTTCACATTTACAAGTATGCAGTTACCATCTGTCTGATCAGTGGCTGTATACATTTTATTAGTGTATTTGTTTCCTAGAAAGCAAACTCTAGGGTCTACTCTAAGGTGTTGTTAGAGCTGTGCTTTGTTAGTTACTACAAGAACTACAAGTTAACTACAAGAAGCTACAACATACTAATTTAAAGAGGTACAGTCTAACTACCCTTTTGAAAAAGCAGCTAAATTACAAGCTAACAAGAAAATATTTTGAGCTATATTTATGTATTAATTTATTTATTAGTATGTTTTTTCCTTC